ATTCGCCTCTGAGAGCCTTCCCTGGCCTCTTTATCTAAAGTGAAAGCTCTCAGCTCCTGGTACCTTACAATGTGCAAATGTTTTATTTCTGTGTTTTTTTGTTTGTTTGTGTTTTCCCGTCACCCCTACCAGACTGCAAACTTACACTCCAGGAGAGCAGAAACCGTTTCTGTGTTATTTACTGTTGTCTGTATCTCCAGGGCCCGCTCGGTACCAAGCACACAGCGGACACTCCGTGAGTGTTTGCTAAGCACAATTCACTATTGCAAGAATGTGGAAACAACCCAAATGCCCATCAATCCATGAGTGGATTATCAAAATTTGGTATATGTTCACAATGGAATATTAATCATAAGAAATGACAGTGATCTAGCACCTCTTACACTTTCCTGGATTAAACTAAGCCCATTATCCAAAGTGGAGCACCACAAGAGCAGCAGAACGGGACCCATTTGTACTCACCATCAAATTGGTATTAACTAATCAACACATAAATGCGCATATCAGAACAACATCTAGTGGATGCTAGGGAAGGGGGAGGGCGGTGGGAGGAGGGGGGAAGAGGGAGGAGGGGAGGGGTATTTGTATACACAAGGAGGGCAATGCGCACTACCCGAAGGATGGACATATTCGAAACACGGACTTCGGTGGGGGGGGAACCAAGGGCAACACACGTAACCTAAACATATGTACACCCATAATTTGCTGAAATAAAAAAAAAAAAAAAAAAAAAATGGCTGCTCTGGTTCTGCTCAACCTCCCAACACCACCCCCAGGGCACGGGCACCCAGCTCCCCCAGTGTGCAGCGATCTTCCAAACACACTCCCTTCTCGCGTTGCCCCCTTGCCTGAAACATCCTTCCTCCCCATTTTCCTCCTGGAACACTAACTCATCTTTCAAGACTCAGTTCAAATATCATCTTCTCTTTGGTGCTTGTCCCTATCCCTCCTGTCAAAACTAAAAGCATCCGCTTGAGGTCCGTGCACACCTGTATGGTGGCTTTTGCCGCTCTGCACTGTCCTGATGTTTCCATATCTGCTTCCCCCACTAGACTGACCCGTTGGAAGCAAAGAAGAGATCCATTTTATCTTCTGTCCCCTCTTCTTAACAGCGCTTGTCACTCAGCACTTGATGAATGTTTGTGGAGGGAGTACGTACCTTAATAAATAAAGGAAATTGCTTTGTGAAATGTCTCTGTGTGAAGTCTCCCTATCTGAGAAACCCCTGTGTGTGTACCTGCTGTTTGGACATTCCTTCTTGGAGGTTTTCCCTGGGGTTCCTGGTTCAGGGAGCCATCTCTCTGTTTTGTGTCTTCTAGGATTAGGCAGTCGGTTTGGTTTACAAAACAGAGTTTGCCGTTGCCCGCTTTCAAAGCAACCTAGCAGTCAAATTAAGGTCTCTCAGGAGAAATCAGGATGCTGGTGAAGGCACAGCTCCACTCCCACATACTTTGCTTACTACTCTACCCACACACAGAACCGGTTGTTAAGGATTCATTCGTTCACTGACTCATTCATTCATTCACTCACTGTCCATTGTTCTCCTGCTATGTGCTGGGCACCGTGTTGGTCCTGTGGTTACAGAGATGTAAGAGGTAGTGATGATCCTCTTCCTTGTAGATGAGGAGGCACAGACAGACAGACAGACAGTGTGATGTAATCGGGGGGGGGGTGTGCAGTCATGTGGCACCAGAGGGAAAGGAGGGCTTTCATCCGCCTGGGGGACATATTCTGAGTGCAGGGGCTCTTTATGCTGACTTCCAGTAGATGAGTAGAATTATTTGATGCATTAGGGAGGATAGAAGGGAGGAAAAGAAAACTAAGGAAGGTGGAGGGAACAGCAGTCACAAAGGCCTGCAGCAGGTGTGCTTGGGAAATGGCAACGGGTTTGAATTCACTGCTGTCCAGAGCTTTGCTGCTCAGGGTTTGCTGTGTGGACCTACAGAACTGACATCGCCGCGGAACTTGCTGGAACAGCAGAATCTTGAGCTCTACCGTGGACCAACTCAATCAGAATCTATATTTTAACACGATCCTCAGGGAGCTGCCAATGCTGCTGGTCCAAGCCCGGCACCGTGAGGACCACCGTGGCGGAGCAGAGCAGGATGCGGAATTTCTGGGAAAGGAGCTAGGGCAGCAGCAGGATTCAAATCCTGAAAGCCTTGACTGTGGAGGAGCTTGTCCTGGATGCTGGGGACCACTGTGGGGTTGTTACCCAGGAGCGTGACATGGTCTACTGTCGCGTTGGAAGAGCTCTCTGGCAGCACGTGGAAGGACAGGCTGACAGGCTGTCACTACATTCCAGGTGAGACCGATGGAGTTTGAACCAAGTCAGTGGTGGTAGAGATGGCTTCAGGGTAACTTTGGGGGTCAGAATCTATAGGAGTCAGGCCAATTGGGTGGGCGGTGGGAGTCACAACCCCCTCCTCCTTGGGGCCCGGAGGACGGCCTGCTGCTCACTCCCTCCCCGCAGCTGTTGCCCTTCTGTGCCCAGAGAGCCACCCGCTTCACTTGCCTCCTCTTCCGAGTCTGCCTCTGGCTCCATCTGACAGGTTTCAGCCTGAAGTGTTTGAAGAAAGGGGTGCAGTAAACCATTCAGAAACAGGATTTATTAATGGGAGGCATGTAATTACTGCCAGACACAGCAATCTGAAGAGTTTATGGCCTGAGAGTCTGGTGTCATTCATTAAAACAAAGTGGGATCTTGGCATGGACGCCAACACCCTGGGACCAGACCCGTCTGCTCCTGTGAAAGCCCCACCCCCGGCAAGTTGAGCAAGTTGAGCCCAGCTCAAGAGGCAAAGGCAGATAAGTCACCAGGGCAGGGAGTCTGGCTCTGGGACAGGCCTTGCTGGGACCCCCTGGAGGAGCAGTTCTTGGTGCCAGGGCAGGATTCCTGGAGGGGATGATGGCCTGCCGGTTTTTGTCTGTTGGACCTCTGATTCCATAGTAACATGTCAGCAGACTCATCACTAACTATGATCTCGCACACTTGTGACTTCTCCAAAGACTTCCTCCCTTCCATGTCGCATCTCAACAGCCCCTCATGGAAACCACGATGCAGACAGCAGAGGTTAGCATCACCTCTTGACAAATGAGAAACTGAGGCGCAGAGAGGTTTGGTGAGTATCCCAAATTCACATGGGCAAAGGGACACTTCTGTACTGAGCTCCCACGAGGCCGTGCTCAAAGTCCCAGCTTGGTGGTGAGGGTGCTGGTTTGTCTGGAGGGCAGACCTGGCTACCAGAGGCCCTGGCTGCTGCAGGACTCAAGTCTAAACCCAGGATTTCTTTTGAATAGTTCTACGAACTTGGAAGAGCTGTTCTGAGTCTCAGTGTCCTATAATATAAAACGGGGAGAGGAAAATGTGTTACCTCCTTTTCAGGGTGGACATGGCTTCGCAGGGTCTGGTGCTGGTCACCTTCCTTTCCCCTAACTGGTGACCCTCTCTGGGCCTCCCAGAAAGCCCCACACTACTCAGGACGGGGATGCTGATGCTCAGATGAGATAATGGAGGGAATATGCTTTGGAAAATCCTTGCACACCATTCAAATGTGAGGTAATAATAGAAAAATGGATCTGCTACCACCCTGCCAAGAAACCAGCAACTTTTGAGACAAAAAGCAGACCCGAAGTCTAGAATCCTCATCATCGTGATTGGGTTTGGACAGAGGAATTTTTCTGACCTTTCAAACATTTATCTCAAAAGTTATTTTATATTGAGGAATAGAGAGGACATCTGTAAAGCACAGTGTGGAACCCAGAGTAGGCTATGGATATCTGGCAGGTATTAGCATACCGATTAGGATACTGTTCCATTCGACTGCAAGCTCTTCCTGGGGACTGCCGTCCCAGTTATCTGAGTATTCCCTAGTGCCCAGCACAGGATCTGGCATATGATAGGTGCTCAGCAATTGCTTAAACTGAACCAAATTGGATTCCATCTTATTCCACGGGTTCTTTGAAAGCAGAGCCTATGTTTTACTCATTTCTCTCTTTCCAGAGCCAAGCCTATTGTCTGGCACAGAGTAGGTGCTTAGGAAATTCAAGATGGATTGAAATTGAGCACAGAGAAAAATAAGGCAGGCTTATCTAATGTCTGCACTGAATGTGGGAGGAACCCGGGGTCCAGGTAGGGAAGGAGTCTGGGATGTGTAGCCTGAGTAGGTACCGGTCAAATGACAGGCTCACTTCAAAGGCACATGGTAGGGAGGGGAGGGGAGAGGATGTGGTTTCCCAAATGCGTTTTTGGCTGGGAGGGGAGCCTTAGTTGGCAGCAAGGGTCAGGTAGGGGGAGGCTGGCAGCATAGGGGAGGCCCCAGCTAGGGCTACAGAGACAGGGACAAATGAGCCAGAGGAGAGGAAGCAACTCAGATGGAGACGAAATGCACTTAAAATCTCCTTTGCCCCTCTGCATCTGCAGGAACTTACGTGGCAGTGATGTGAGAGCTGGAAGGAAAACAGGCTTTGCAGTCAAATAAATCTGCGTGCAGAGACTCTCAGTGCGAGCCAAGACTGTGGGGGCTTGAAGGTGATGTTTTGTTTTTCTGAATCTCCATGTCCTCATCTAAAAGAAATGGGATAAGTGATTCTTACCTTACAGGGTTGTTGTGGATATCAAAGGAGTGTCTTGTAAGTAATAACACAGCCATTTATTAAGCACCTGCTCTCTACCAGGCACCGTGCCTAGTAGCTGTATGGATTTAATTAGTGATCCCCTAATCACCCTGCAAGGTCGTTTTTATCATCTCTGGTCTCCACTGCAGGAAACTGAAGTTCAGAGACGCGGAACACTTTGCTCCAGTGACAGAGCTGGACACCCAACCGGGCTCTGTCTGTGAAGATGACTCATGGATATGCGCGGACATGACGATTACATTGCGTGAATCTTAGCCAAGCCCAAAACTCTCCGACAGCAGCAGGTTCCTTCACTGTCAGCACTGTATTTCCCTCACCTCTCCCCTTTATTTTTTTGAAAAAGCTAAACCTTTAACTAACCTGGCAATCTACGAAAGGGGGGTAAGTTCCACTAAGTGATTTAAACGTGATTCGATTCCCTCTGTCCAGGTGCTCTTTGGCTTCAATGGGACGTGGATCAGGAAATTATTTCTAGGTGTTTATATGAGGGAAAAGGAAAAGCTGCTGAGAGTTCAACTTTTGGACACTCCAACAACGTCTGAAATATCAAAAACTATCCTTCCAAAAGAAAACTATCAACTCTTTTGACTGTGTTTGGAATCTTTGAAGCTTTAGCCAAAGATGAGATAAATGTGAAAGGTAAGGAAAGCAAATTAACTTTTAGCACAATCTACCACGTGCCTGTGTCTTGATGTACTTTCTTCTCAGTTCCTTCCAGTAACCCTGTAGGGGAGGTATCCTTAGATGCATTTTCCACATAAGAATGCTCAGAGAGGTGAACATTTGTCTGAGATCACACAGTGATTTGGCATCAAAGCCAAGATTCAAACCTTAGCCTGCTTGGTCCTGAAGCCAGGTCTTTTTTCTTCTACTCTGAGCTTCTTAGTCTATGTGTCTCCTGATGGCAGCTGTTGCATCCTCTTTCTTTAAAGAGCCCATCCTTTGGTCCTGTACAGCCCCCCAGAGAGATCTGGCAGTTTTAGAAGAAAAAGGACTTTCAGCTTAAGACTGCTTGGGACCACCAAAGGTCCTCAACAGACACGTAGGAGAGCATGCTTTTGGAAGGTGCTCTTAGTGAATTGGACACTGGCTGGATGGTTCTATTTTTGGATGTGAACTCAGGCATCAGGAGCAGGTGGTATCTTTTTTTTTTTCTTTTTTGGCAGAATGGATTGGACTTGGGGGAGGAGGAGGAATGAAGCAGGGAAGAGAGCTCTTTTCAGTTTATCTAAAAGTGAGTATTATGAATTTAAGCAACCCATGTGCAGTTCCCATTATACAGTGGTTTTATGTAGATCCAGACTGCTACAGGTGGAAGATGTCCTATCTGTCCCACCTTATTTAATTTTTAATGCACTCTTGGATTGTAGTTGTGGACAAATCCAAACAAGCTACCAAACACTTAGTTTGCATGCCATCCTCGGGCTTCTCCTTCCAGGGTAGTGGAAAGCTCACGGGCTTCAGAGTTGGTGAGATACGAATTTGACTTTCAGCCATGCCGCGGATCTGTGTGGCTTTGGGCAAGCCACCCAATGTCTCTAACCTCAGGCCCTCCATCTGTAAAATGAGTACAATAATGCCTGCTTTTTAAGGTTGTCATGGTTGTAAAGTACTTGATGCTTGGCAGACACTCATTAAACATTAGTTACTTTTTCTCCCTGTATCTCAAAGTGCAAATTCATTATCTATTATATATTCTGTTAGGTCGAGAAGTGGGCACGTATGATGACCTATATTTTTTAGGACAGCTTGGATCCACCCAGATTGTTGGCAGGGACTATCAGCCTTGGTTTAAGACTTAAGCCAATGCCCATTATGTCATTATGGAGCCTGCAAAAGTGATTACTAATGTTACTTTTCCAGTTCACTGCGGAGCAGAGGGGAGAGTTTTTCACACTGCTGGCGTTTTGTTGGAGCACGACGATATGAATCACAGATGGCTTCCTCGGCAGATGTGGCCCTGTAGAACTGCAGTGCTGGTTTATAAGGGGTTTAATGAAAACCTGGCACCCTTCCAGACTTGAATCAATCCTCTGGGGTTCTCGGCTTATGCACACACAGACCAATCTGCAAATGTGCACCCTGTCGATGGTGTGGGGAATGCTGGGGTGAAAAGTTTTTACCTGAGAAACAAAGCCAAACCGATCTGGCCAAGTTCACAGGCGTGGGGCCTGGGAGATGGAACAGTGGTGTGGAAGGGAAGTTCGTAGGAGGAGAGTGGCTATATCTGGAGGATGTCCAGATGGCCACTGCCCAGCTGGGGGTGATCTGGGCTCAGGTAGAAGGATGGCTTTCCCAGCTGCTTGGAGCTCACAGTATTTTCTTCCTTGCCACAGGTTAGGAGTAAGCAGGAGCCACAAGTGGGAGATAAGGAATAACAAAATAGTTTCATTAGTTCATAGTGTAGATTGGAACTGGACTTGCCTATTGTTGCCTCCGCTTGAAATGGGCCGCTGTTATTTCTCATCTATTTCATTTTGCCATCAATTGTCATTCCTTGGCGAAGACTTCCTTGATCACTTTCCTAAAAGAGAGCCTCCAAGCTCTTTGCTATGTTCTATCTTAGCTGTGCATTTATTTCATGACATATCACAATTTATTTGCCTATTTGCTTGCTGCTTTGGCCCTTTAGTACAATATAAGCCCCTTGAGGGTAGGAACTCTGTTCATCTTGTTGACCAAGGTAGCCCAGCGCCTAGCGGAGCACCTGGCATATAGTGGACATTCAATAAATATTGTTGGAGGAATGAATAAATTTTGTGACAACGAGATCAGTCTTTGCAGCTTAATGCCACCATTTACAAGTTGTATAACTGTCCACGTTACTTAATCTTTCTTGGTCTCAGATTCTTTATCTGTAAAAAAGGGATAAAAATTCAATAAAGGATAGCTGTTTATGTAGAATAGCATCTTGCACATAAGAAACAGCCAATAAATTGAAGCTATCATTATGCAATCATTGAAGAATTAAGTTAACCACCAACAAATGTTTATCAATATCTCTGTTCAGCTCATATCTATTGAATATCTAGTATATGCCATGCCCCAAACCAAGCACTTTTACACGCATCATCTTATGTTATTCTTCACAACAACCTTGTAAGATGTTCTCATTTTAGAACAAAGGAAACAGACTTAGATTAAGTGGTTTGAACAGGCTTATGTAGCTATTCAGTGGCAGCGGCAATATTAACTCCATTTCTATTTTTAAAGCATAATTTTCCCCCATAATTCCAGGCTGCTTCCTATTAACACTCACTCTGGATAAATAAACATAAGGAAGCCACATTCTCTGTCCTCTGGGGGCTCTGGTTTAGGCGATAAGACATGTGTAAGAGTAAAATGAACACTAATAAAAACCAAAGTTTTTTGTGCTGCTTTGAAGTTTACAAAGCTTGTCCCAATATTTACAACACGTTCCAGTTTTAAAAGATTATTATCCAGGATATATAAATAATTCATACAAGTCAATAAGAAAAAGACAAACAACCCAATGGAAAAATCGACAGATTATAAACAGGCAATTCAAATCACCAATAATCACATGAAAAGATGCTTGGCATTACTAGCTGTTGGGGAAATTCAAACGAGTCCACTAAGATACCACTGCCTATCTGTCGGAGAGGCAAAAATAACAGGGAGAAAAACCCAAGTGTCGATGAAAATAAGAAGAAATGGGAACTACCATACCATGCCTACCATGCCGGTGGGACTGTAAATTGGTAAAGTCAGTTGGGGAGCAACTGGCAATACTTACTAGGGGTTGATATGAACGTAGCCTGAGGACCAGGGCTTCCTCAATGAGGTAAAAACCTTACAGAAACGCTCACGCATGTGCAGAAGGAGACGTGCAGTGACGTTCAGTGTCGGCATTTTATATAACAGTGAAATATTGGAAACAATTTAACCGTACATTAATAGGGGAACGGATAAATAAATCGGTCATTTGTAGATGGAACATGAAATAGCAGCTGACGGAATAAATTAGAGCTACACTTAACAACGTGGCTAACTCGCTGGAACATATCGTTGCATAAAAAGGCGCAAGCTGCAGAAAGGCAGACAGGATATCATTTATGTACGCTTAAAAAACATGCGAAACAATGCCACATGTTTAAAATTAACTCTATTTCTCTACCAGAAAGATCTGGTCAGGAGTAATACATGCTGCTAGACGGTAATAATTACTTCTGGGGAGGAGATAGGGAAAGTTTGTAAAGAGGACTTTTATGGAACCTTCAACTGAATGTTTTAATTAAAAAATAATCTGAAGCGAATATGGCAAAATATTAATATTTTCAGATCCAGGGGGTGGGTAAAGTATGTTTGTTATATTTTTCTTTGACCTTTTCTGCATGTATGAGGTATTTGATAAACCAAACAAACACCTAACTAACCCAGAGCTTCTTCCCCAAACTATCTAATTTGATCCTCTTTAAGACCCTGGGGGCAGCCATGAAAGAAAAAATGTTAAACTCTGCGGTTTCAGGCTTTCCCTCTCTTGGCACCTGCCTTTTGTTGTGCTGATTGGGGCTGCAGGGCAGGTGAAGAAGAGGCTAATAGATTTTCATTAGAAAGGGCCTGCAGCCATGGTGGGGGTCGGGCAGGGGGCAGAGAAAGGGGGAAGGGAACCAGGAGGGTGAAGGTGTTGAGGTTCTGAGACAAGGTTGAAGAAACTGAGGTTCAGAGAAGGAGAGTAATTTATCCAACATCCTACAGGGGCAGAGCTGGAATCTACACCCCCCATTACCTAACTCTATATTTAGGTCAAAGGCAGAAGCACAGATATTGAATGTGGACAGATGTGGACAGATGTGGGACAGATCCCAGCTCAGCTATTTAGTATCTGTGTGACCTTAGGGACCCCACCTAATTCTCTGAGCTCGGGTCCCTGTTGCCTCTCTTAGAGTGTCATTGAGAGGAACAAGTAACATAATGTATATAAAGGGACTAGTGGGAATCGATACTGTGTCTAAATCTTGGTGTTTACTCCACAAATAAAGTTACAATCACCATCCCCAGTATCATTTCAATCTGTTTCAGCCATTCTTCAATAACTTGCCTTGTAACTTTCTACCCCCACTCCCCTGCTCCCCCCAGCCTAAGGCTGGACAGTTTTCTATGGGCAAGCAACCAGTTTATCTGTGTCCAAAAATCGGTTTCAGCATTCCAGTGAAGTCTACCAAACCCGGAGACAGGGAGAAAGAGCACCTCCTTTTCTCTGGAGTCCTTACTCCTAAGAGTGCAGTCTGATGTCTCATCAATTTTGGGAGCAGTCACATCACACATGTCTACTGAACTATCGACTAAAGCCCCTGAATCCTTTTATATAACTTACAATTAAAATTTGTCCTTTGCCCACCCTATACAGTTGGATTTTCCAACTCAAATGAAGGATCTTGAATAGAAAATATGGAGGAAAGACCAAGATAACAAAAAAGATCCTAGTGCTATGGAGGAAATAAAATTGCTTATATTTCGTGAGTATCATTATGATCTTATGGGTTCCTTTTTAAAAAAAATTATTGTTAAATGTGCTATAAATCATTATCATCATTGTTCTTTTTGATTTCCCAATTGATTTGACCAGTGGGAATTCCTTCGAATCAATTCCTATGTCTTTTTGATACATCTCCTTCAATCTTTGAGTCCCTGCTTGTTTTCTGACATAAGGTATTCCAAGGCTTTCTTTGTCCCAGAACCAGAATCAGCTGTGTCTCCAAGGAGCACTGGTTTTTTTTAGTGGAGAATGGTGTTTAGAAATGAAGATTTGAGTACTATATGTGCACTCTGCTACTGGGATATCATTGCTTCTGGGCCCTTTCAGTGTAGAAAAATAAATCAATGTATATCTCTCTCTCTCTCTCTCTCTCTCTCTCTCTATTAGAGTCTCAGTGATTAATTTTACGTGTCAAAAATGCCCAAATATTTGGTCAAACACTCTTCCGGATATTTCTGTGAGGATGTTTTGGATGAGATTAACATTTAAATCACTTTGGGCACAGCAGAGTACCCTCCCTGATGTGAATGGGTCACATCAAATCAGTTGAAAACCTGAATAGAACAAAAGACTGACCTCCCCTAAGCAAGAGGGAGCTCTCTAGAAACTGCCCGGGACTTGAACCTCAGCAATGACGGCTCTTCTCCGGACCTCCAGCCACCTTGCAGATTTTGAACTTGGCAGTGTTCATAATCCTGTGAGCCAATTCCTTGAGTGAATCTCTCTTTCTGTACATACACGCATCCTAACGGTTCTGTTGAACTGAAGAATCCTGATTACCACTGAGGCCGATACCTCCGATTCAAACCTAATGCCATGGTGTCCTCGCTCACTTTCCTCATTTGTATTTGTATCTCCTGTCTTTTACAGCGACAATCACGGTTTCCAACAAAAGTCAATACATTTACTCATTCATTACAGCCCAAATACACGTAATAAGACAACTATCTTGGACTCTTCGATATCATGAAAGAAAGGAAATAAAAAAGCAGGAGAAGTGTTCTGTGTGAGATAAAACTAGAGACCTGACCACCAAAAGCAGCGCATGACACTTGCTTGGATTCTGGGCATAATTGGGGAACTTTGAATATGGACATTAGATATTTTATAAAACTAAATTTCTTGGATCTGATACTGATATGACATAGAAGACATAATCATTTGTAAGAAATAGGAAATGTATGTTATTTAGGAAGGCAGTGCTTTGATGTTGGCAAATTATTCTTAAATGGTTCACAAAAATATATAAATAAATATACATAGATACAGATATAGATTGATTGATAGAGAGATATTGTTTGTGTGTATGTGTGTGACAGAGGGGGAGGGAGAGAGAGAAGGGAAATGCATGCAAAGGTGGCAAAATACTAATGGTTGGTAAATCCAGGTTTAGGAAAATTCAAGTTTAGGATTATTCTTTCAACTTTTCTATTGAAATTTTTCTACTTGAAACTTTTCAAAATAAACAGATGGTGGAAATAGTAATAAATATTATATATCGAGTGTTATATATCTACTAGCAGGTATTACGCATCGAGTGCTGACTTAGTGCTGGGCATGTGTTAAGTGCTGTACGTACACCATTAACTTGTTTAATCCTCACCACCATCCTCTGAGGTCGGTAACATCATCCTACTTTACAGCAGAGGAATCTGAGGCTCAGAGAGGTGCAGAAACTTGCCTAAGTTCACATGGCCAGCAGGATAGAAGGAGGCCCAGACAGAGGAGTGTCCTGCCAGGGCCATCAGCTAGACAGTGGCCACAGCAGGACCAGGACAGAGGCATCTGATTCTTAGTCCGGAGCTCAGTCCATTGTAACAGAAACGTTCTTCTTCCTTGTTTTCTTGCTCACTGGGGCTCCATTTACAGAAAGATTTCTTCCAGCTCTGCTAGGCTCATTGCAAAGAGAAAAGATTTTGTTTCTCCCTTTGCCTTTGAAATAGATAAGCATCCAGCTTCCTGTCCTCTGGCTTTTACCCAGACCTTTTATACTCATTATTCTCAGCAATGCACGTCTCCCTGATTATTGGGTCACAACTTTATCAGATTCCAGAGATGTGAAAACCCAAGCAGGCAGCAGAGGCTTCAGACTAAGGGCAAGCATTCCCATTCATTAACGGAGGGACAG